TGTGTGTGTGTGTGTGTGTAATATACATAAATTTTATATGTATATATACACATACATAGATATATACCCAGACAGCACAGATCTCCTGGAGTGCGTCCATAGAACATTTACAAATGTTCTTAGAATGTCTTATGGACATTCTATGAATATCATGTGCTGTCAGAATATTCCATTTTAATTAATTTATTGATAATATGGAATAACATAAAAATAGCTATAAAAAATTGTTTAAAAATAAAAAGAATTGTATATAGTGTATTTGTTCTAAAAATGAACAAAATAATGCTGATACTTAATTTAATTTAATTTTGGGAAAAAATCGATTTTTTAAGGTCACATGAAGATTCAATCGCCATTATTGAAAATAATAAATATTATTTTTTTGGATAATATGATTTTTGTAATTATTTTAAATATAAAATAGAGTTATAAAAAAATTAATAGTTTACAAGATATTTTATATTTTATTCTGGCATATTTTGACATAAAACATAAAATATCTAATTATTCCGATATTGTGTTTACAATGTATACCTGACTTTACCTAAACAAGAGAAAATATCGGATCATTTCTTTCCCTTTTATATGCGTGTCCAAGATTTTATTTATTTATCATGAAATAAAAAACAAATAAATAGTATTATCGTCCTTCTTTCTTTTAATTTGTACGATGTTTAACGCAAAGATCAGTATTATGAAAAGTAACATTGCACATCGATTTTATTAGACAGATCAAAAGTGAGTTTTGAAATTATAGAAAATAGAAACTACATAAGCATGGATGATACATGTAAAAACGATCGATTTGTTGATATCGGATTCGATCGCGATCCTCTTATATTTATCTCGGTTCATTAGAGGTTTTTTAAATAGTATAAGTTAACCGTTTTGAGTGAAAGAGTGTAAATTGTTAGTTCGTGTAATCCGCGTTAGCAACAATAAACTAATACATATTGGAGAAAAGTTTAATATTCTTTCCCTTTATCTAATAATTCGCGATACGTCTCCTATAATTTTTTATTGCTAACTTCTTTTCTATTGCTGCATTGAAGCCAAAACAATTATTCAGGCAATCCAAGTTGAAAAAACTATTTTATTTTGATTGTATTTGATAAAAAATTTATATTTTTTCCTATTATTTTTTTACTGTGTTTCGATATGACTGAATTAATAAAAAAAAGTGTTAAATTACAAACTTGTTTAATTGTCTAATTTAAAATATCTCATATGTTCAAATTTTCGACAATTGACGACAACCTTTTGTTAGATATCCTCTCTATGTGTAGTCCATATTCGAACTAACTGTTCAACACCTGACAGGCCCAGTGTTACTCACAGGTCGAAACACAGCCCTAGCAATCCTTATGTGTAAGAGTTTTGAATTGCAAACTTGTTTAATAGGTCAAAATATCTCATGCGTCGAAATTTTAATCAATTGACGACAATCTTTTGTTACACTTCCTCCATTCAAACTAAATGTTCAGCACTTGACCGGTCAAGTGTTAATTCACTATCATAGATCGGAACACAGCCCTGGCAATCCTTCGTACTAAAATTATCGTAGGTTCAAATCTATTATTCTTTCCCTTCTCTCTTCTGTATCTTTCTCTCCACGTCTCTTTATCAGATTGATAATGAGAATATATATCATTTGCTATTTTTTCCAAGAGAGATAATCGATTATTGTCGACAAAAGGACAACAGTTGAACCTCGATAACCTCGAATCTCAACGGAAGAGCTAAACTCTTCGAGTTATACAGTTTTCGACTTATCGAAATTTGAGTAAAAAAGATTTACATATGAAAATTCAACTTACGAAAGCTTTGTACGAGAGTTTATAATTTTTCGATTATAGCGACTTTTAAACGAAAAAAAATTCAATTTTTGACAGCGAATTATTTATTCCATTGCATAAAATAAATGTAATCATAAAACAAATACCAGATTATTACTCATGGTTACACATAGCTACAACTTTAAAATTGTACCTAGAGGCAGCAACAATAGAAGTTCGACTTGCATGTAGAGATGAACTTTGACTTGTAGAAGTCTGGCTAATTTAAATTCAAGTTGCAGAGGTAAAATAATACATCTAAGTATTAGACAAATGATTCGAGTTAAGGTTTTACTTCGATTTATCGAGAGGTTTATCTATGTGAAGCGGACGAGAATGAATACAATTGTCGTCTTATATAGAGGTTTTCGAGTTGTAGAGGTTCGAGTTATCGAGGTTCGATTGTATAAATAATGATATAATAAAGATAATCACGAAAGCTCTAACCAAGCTTACATATAGTTTTGTCTAAAAAATAAAAACAAACAATAGAAATAAATGAGCTTGTCTTTTTTATAAGCACGTTTAAAATTCGTTTTCTATATATACCAGTACAATGGAATCTCGATAACTTGAACCTCTACAACTCGAAAACCTCTCTAAGATGAAAATTTTGTTTATCCCCTTCCGCTCCGCTGTGGAAAACCTCTATAAATCGAAATAAAACCTACCTTAACTCGAATTATTTATCAGGCATTTAGATATATATT